ATGACAAGTTTGACTTGATTGTTTATCACTTTAGGTAGTTGTTTGGTCTTAGTGAAGTACTGAGCTGAATAACCCTCCAGGCCAGAAGTTTATTAATGCTTACAGTGGCACCATGATATAGTTTCAGCCCCTACTCTCCTCTCTTCTAAGACGAAAAAACAAGATGTCTTCTTTTAAAGGTTTGAAGGGAAGGGGAGGTCTTGAACCACAAAGAAGCAAGTTTAGTGAATATGGGACTTCTTTTATGTGACAGCATTCATGTTTTCTCTAGACAGGTAAGTTGGGCCCGGTAATGAGTGGCCCATGCTTCTTGACAGTAACAGAGAAGTGGCACGTGTATGACTAATGCTAGGTGATAGGGGTTTCTCTTTCTCTGGAGAACAATGGAGCTTGTGTGACAGATTTTTCCTAGGGAGACATCACACACACACACACACACACACACACACACACACACACACACACACACACCTATTCATCCTAGAAATGGAACACACACAGACCAAAATAACAAATGTATCAATGTCTAACTTGGTGAACCAAGGAATTTTAATTCTGGTTACTAACAGGAGTATTCCAAGGAGCAGGAGGAGTCAAGAGGAACTGCATCACTGAAAAGTCCACCCTGACACAGTTGATGACTCATAGAAGCTGAGACCCTGGATTTCTTTGCACATCATTCAGGCAGCCAACAGTCTTAATATCCCTCTTTTCTGCCATTCTCATGGTCAGAGTCTCTCAACAGCAGTTGCTTACTCATTTTTATATCCCTATAGTACAGGGGACTCAGAATTCAAACATTCCATGTTTTCTCTTATATACAGATGTTAGATTTTAAGCTTTAGCTGTGATCCAAGTAGATCCACATAACCACAGAGGTTAGGAACTTCAAACGGGACCAGATTAGAGGAAAGGGTCTTCCAAGGAAGGGGAATAGAACATGGTTTTATAAAGGGATAAAAGGTGGAACTAGAATAGCATTAAATGGGGAGGGGGTAGAAGGGTAGGGTAAAAGAGGGAATGTGAGGAGAGGCAACTAACACTAAAAGCCTTTTGAAAAGCCATATGAAAACCTACTGCTTTAGAAGCCTCCTAAAATAGATAAGAGGGATATAAATGGAGTTGCCATTATAAAGAGAGAGATAATATCCCAACTAGATAACGTAAAACCCCAGTACCAGGAATGGACTCTTGTTTTTAACAAAATATCAATCATTCGATTTTACTAATAAAGACTCGAGAGCCAGATGCTGGGGTGAAAGCCTGCTAGCTCAGACAGGCAGAGAAGCACCCAGCTGACCTTCCTCCTCCGCTGATGTCCTTGAAAATTCTCTCTTCTCCTAAGCTGTCTCAAACAAAAACCTCAAAATGAATGTCCCTCCCTTCTACTTCCTGTGCATCTTTCTATCTGTCCTCCTGACTCCCTCTTACTCTATGGCTTTTTCTTAATAATCCTATGTTCACTTCCTCTCAGCTGGTTGCTTGCTCTGTCTCTTGACCTATGGCTGACTTTATTTAGTCCTGTTTACAATATTCAAGCAGAAAGCTCTTAGATTGAGCCACAACACAACTAGAAACAGTTTTTTTTGAATAAATAACACAATCTCAGTGTTCACAGTGTGATCAAATATGCTGCAATAGTGGACTACATATTTTTAAGTCATTGGTCCTAGGGGTCCAGTAGACCCCCTAAACATTACAGGCAATTGTCAAAGGCTATTGGTTACCCTCCACAACCTGAGGGTAAGGCTCTACTGCTGAACATACCACTTATGTCATCAAACATGGACAAGTTAAGCTTGTCCCTACTGACTGTCACTAATGGTGCTGTAAGGTACTAAACATGCTACTCCAGGAGAAAAGTAATCGTCATCCTGCTACAAATAACCTAGAGCAGAATTTCTCAACCTGTGAGTCACGACCCAATTTGGAATCAAACAACTCTTTAAAAAGAGTCACCTAAAACCATCAGAAAACACAAGTATCTGCATTAAAATTAATAACCATTGTAAAGTTATAGTTATGAAGTAGCAACAAAACATGATTTTATAGTTTGGGGGTCACCACAAAATGAGGGACTACATTAAAGGGTTACAGTATTAGGAAGGTTGAGAACCACAGCTCTAGAAGGAAACCTACTACTATTATTCTGTTAAGTGAACATAGCAATTAAAATGACACCTAATGACATTTTGCTATACACATAGGTATTTCCTCCACTGAAGTCTTGAATCCTTGAAGTCATCCTTGAGGGGTGGGACCAACTGCTTCCAAATACCTTAGTGTTTATACTCTGACCTCCCATAAATCACGAGTGTTATTTTTGGGTGTGTTAACATGTGTTCAGGTAGTGTGTGAGTGCATGTGTATGTGTGTATATACATGCATGCATGTACAAGGAGGCCAGAGGTCAATGTTAAGTGTCTTCTTCTATTGCTTTCTACCTTATTTTTGGAAATATGCTTTCTTAGTGAACTTGGATAGGCTGGCAGACTGGCAAGCGTGGGGCATCCACCTGTTTGCAGCCCTCTAGCAATGGTAATCACTTACTGACAGAGCCATCTTGCCAGCCCAAGCGTTGGTACCAATATCAGGAATAGTGAATCATTTCCAGGGGTATTCAACTCACTTTCCCCAGATTCACTAGAGGAATCACTGTCTACATGGTAGCCACAGCCTTATGAAATGTATTTGTTGAATACAGATTTGAAAATCAAAACTGCTTAATAGATCTGTGGGTTATAAAATGAATGTTAGCATACATTAAAATATTAATTTTGTTGTATATATCCACTGTAATTCTTGGTTGCTGAGGACATTGCCAATGAGTAATATTTTTGAGAACTTTTTATTTCTCCTCTGAGTGATGGAACTCAACAGTGGGCTGAAAATAGTCACTAATGTGTGCTATAAACACTCGTGCTGTCACCCTTTTCTTTTCATTTATAATACACAGGTAGAGTGTATTTTGTATAATTTAGAAGAGTAGGTTATTCACAGTGGCAACTGAGCCTTGGCATCAACTGGCAGCAGTAGCCTTAGTAAGAGAGTTGGCTTTTTTTTTTAAACCCAGACCCAGACTTCTTTCTAGCTAAGGAAGTTGGAGATGGCATCTCTTTCTAATATAAGGTTTTTCCCCCTATTCTGAACATGTTTTTATGTGTAGCCATCTTTATTAATTATCTGAGATACTCTGGGTAACTTGCCTCAGATTTTGTGTCAATACCTGCTGCTTCACATTGCACTTTTATGTCCCACACAGCTTCTTTCCTTATGTCTCATGAAGACATTTCTGCTAGCATCAAAGCTCTCTTCTGAAGTTTCCTTACCTCCAGACTCGATGCTTCTGCCTGCTTTGATTTTTATGCAGGCTACCAAACGAAACTTTCTGCATGTCAGCAGTTGGGCTACTGTGCTTTCTAAGCTTTTGTGTGTTCGCCCAATTAATGCTCTAATTCCCTTTGATAACTGTTACAAAATGAATGTTTGGTGCTAGAGGTCTACCTTTTGGGCAGTTTGGCTTTGAGTGTGTCTCCCTCACTAGCTTTCATCATTCTGAGCATTGATTTAATGTGAGAGGGATGGGACTCTTTCTCTTATTTGAACACTTCCAGGTCATTACAAGGTTATTAATTGGACTAATTTTAATTGTGTTCTCAGAAAACAAGGAGGCCAAAAGAGAATGAGAATCCCAAGAGAATAGCTCCCTGAAGGCAAAGTCAAAAGATAGGCATTTAGCAGTCAAGTTTTTTAACCCTTCACGAAACCCCCAAAAGCTTACATTGTTACCATCACGGTTCACTGATCACAAATCACTTCAACAAATATCACAGTATTCTTGCTTATAGTTTTTCCAGAATTACGAAAGTGTGGCAGGACCTAAAGTGAGTTCATGCCTTAGGAAGAAAAAATGTTGATGACTATTGATCTACAAACAGTAAAGCATCACAAAGCCTGATACAGTGACATAGGTTTCCACAAGTCTTTCTCATCACTTAGATTTATCCTGAAGTACTTTGTGGCATTGCTGCTTCCTTTTCTAGAAATGGGCTCAGTTTTGTGCATTTGCTTTTTTTTTTCTGCATCTTTACCAAGTATGTTTATGTGCTTTTTGTTGTTGATTGTTTTTGTTTGTCTTGTTGAGTCTTGAAGATACAATACATGGAAGGTTTGCCATTCGTAACTATATTATCACTTCCATAGAGATCCTAAGACAACTTTGAGAACTGCAAACTCCTCACTGGCTTTCCTCAGCCAGCATATGCCCACTCACAAAGCGCTCTTTGTCTTCAAACTCTTCTACAGACATCTCCTGCCACAGCAGTAAGTGCACTCCCCATAGACTCATTGGTGACTGGTTTTGTTGAACCTTGGTTACTGTTGTCAACTTGATAGAATCTAAAATCACAAGCGAGATGTGCCCCTGGACATTCCTGCGGGAAATGCTCTTGATTTTATTAATTGAGGTGGGAAGATCTCTCGCACTGTATTCTACTATTCCCTTGCTGGGATCCTCAACTGTGCATATGGAGAAAGGGAGCCAAGCAGAAACATAAAAACATCCCTCTGTGTTTCCTAATTGTGGATATTATGTGGCCAGCTCGTTCAAGCTCCTCCTGCCACATCTTATCTCTCAGCCTATGATGGATTGTACTTTGAACTCTAAGGTAAAATAAATCTTCCCTCTCTTAAGCTATTTCTGTCAGAATATTTTATGACAGCTACATGAGAAGAGAATGAAGTTACCTTCCTTCTTTAGACCAGATACCAACCTTCAAGCTTCTGTAGCCACTACCAGCAAATATTCCAGGAATTTATTTTATTATTTTCATTTTGTTTGTTTCTTACCAACAAATATCAATATTCTAAGACAAGTGAATTTTGTTCTGTACTTACAAAGAGTTTTTCCACTCTAGTTATTTTTAAAAATATTTCCTTTATTATTTATTTTTAATTCCTTTACATCAAGAGGAGGAAGGGTCCACTCTTTCATCCCTCCAACTACCCCCATGTCTTTCCTCTACTTTCAAATTTATGGCCTCTTTATCTTTAATTATTGTTACATATATGAATAAATACATAAATATGACCTGCTGAGTCTGCATAGTATCAACTGTATGTATATGTTTTAGAGCCAACCATGTGATATTGGATAACTAATTAGGGGGCTCATTCCTGAGGAGGACTAATTCTCCCTTTCTCAGAAGTCATTAATTGCCTGTAGCTCTTCATCTAGGGATGGGGCCCTATGAGGCTTCTGCTGTGCATGTTGGTATGTCAACTGGTATTTGCATTGTTCAGGTCTTGTTTAGGCAGCCGTATTGTTGAGATTTTCTAAGTGTAGCTTCCCTTTAACATAGAGAAGACACAAGTTCACAGTGGATTTCCTGGCTTTTCACAGCCTTCCCACTCCTTCCCTAATGTTGCCCAAGCCAGTAAGGCATTAGGATTGTATTGCAGATATATCACCTGGGAGTAGGCACTCCATGGTTAGTTGTTCTTTTCAGTTTGACCAGTTGTGGCTTTACGTGATGGCACCTGCTGCAATAAGAAACTTCTTTGATCAGGAGTGAGAGTTATGAGCATAAGTATTTAGAATGCAGTTAGGAATTATGTTGGTTTAGGAAAATGGCAGTAGTACATCCTCCTCTAAGCTCTATGACCTCCCTCTGCTGGGGTAGTTACAGTACCAGGTACTATTTCCCTTCTGTTGAGCTGGCACAGTTTCCCTTCTAATAGGCATTAACAACTTCTATTAGACAGCTGTTAAGAGCCATAGACCATCTAACAAAAAGTCTCAGGAATAGGAAAGAGAAATCTCCTTTTGAGGTTTTGGTCAGAGGGAATCCAAGCAACTCCCAAAACAATATCAGCTATTGCTGTTGCCCTTGGTTGCCTCCTAGAGGTTTGAGGTAAAGTCCATACTGCTGAGGCCATCACTTACTTCAGACATAGGACTCAGAGGAATTGAGCTGGATCTGACCTGAAAGCTTCATCCCTATGGACTAGCTTTATAGAACTATTTTCCCTTCTGTTCAGCTGGCATGATTTCCATTCTCTAAAAAAAAATAATATTGTCAAACCATTGAGAATTTGTCTATTAATCAGGAAGACAGAGCTTCAATTTTACTCACCTCATATTGTTAGCCTGTTGTCATGATTTATACCAGTTCAGATATCTTTGTGTCCTTAGAGTAGAACATTAAAGACTATTTTTTATTGAGTTCATTCTGAGGATCTTTTCTGTTGTAATTGTAAGCAGAAGATGAAACTCTCCTTATTCCAAGAGATATACAAAGTTCCCCTCCAATACAAACCAGCATGATCCCATTCTGAGGATGTCCTGACTCTCCTTGTTACCAGCCACAGCCGTACAGAAGAGTGAGAACATAAAATAGAAGCTGGGAGCTCTTCTCTCTGGGCACAATCTCCAGCCCTGTCAGGAGAGCTGCACTGGGATGTTCTGTGGACCCTCTGACAAGAAGCAAAGATCTGTATAGGAGAAAAGTGGCTTGTGCTGCCTTGGGAGTGCGCAGGGCTGAAGGTAGAGAGGATGCATGTCTGGATTGAGGGATGAGTGTCTGAAATCATCCCTCATGTCTAACTGGCCAATACCAGGTGGGAGTAGGGGTACAGCATGAAGGCCATAAATTGTATTTGATAAAATACATCAATCTGGTTGACTTGTACTGAGGTTTGTGGTAGAAGAAGTTTTTAAGCGGTCTCAGATTAAATTTCCTTTTATATCGGGTACACTTGTGCCTATTTATTTTATATTTTGAAATCTGTAGTCCTGCTCATCACACAGAGACTGACCTTCATAGGTTAACCCAGTTCCTCGACATAGAGAACAACCTGATGGGCCTCATGCTTTCCATATGCAAGATAACCAAACCTAAACTCACAGCCACAGCCACAGCCACCTCCACTATTGGGCTTACTGGATTCTCACAATCAGGTCAAAATCTCTTATTCTTTTCTAGTTACCACATCCAGACATGCTAAGCAGATAGAATTTCTTCCACACTTATTTCAGAGCCTGGAGAAATTATTCAAGCTAGCTGTATCTCCATATACCCTCTCTTGCTTCCCATCAAAAAATACATAGGCCATTTCCTTGGATTTTCCCTTACTCTCCCTTGCTTCAAGGTGATGGAGTTTGCCACCTTGGGCCTCCGCTTGGAATTCATTCTTGTTGGTGACTTCTAACACCAAAGTTTCATCCCCAACTTTGTCTATGTTTACAGTTCTCTCCAAAACTAAGTGACAGGACAGGTCCTGAACTGATTGGACGGGCCAGTAGTCTTGGTGCTTTCTTCTAGCTTCTCCTGTAGCCACTGAGTACTTTGGAAGTGTCTTCCTCCCGCTCCCTCCACACTTTCTCAGATAACTTTTGGTCTTTAACCTATACTACTGAGGCCACCCCAAGTGTCATCCTTAGGTTTGTTTCTTCTTTATGGGGCTCCACGGTGTTTGTACCTTCCTCTAGCTTCTACTGCCTGAGTCTATTCACATACACATACCTAGCTTTATCTCCTTCCATTTTCATGTGTGTATGTGGTTTGCGGTATATACTTGTGTATGTATGTTTGCATGTGTGTGAAAACACACAGATGTGGATGCCTATGCCCATAGCTGTGTCATACACATGGAAGACTGAGGGTGATTTCTGGAATCATCTTCATCCACACAAAGAAGGCACTTCAGGCTCAGCACTGCTTCCGTGTTGAAGAGGAGCGTGTCTGGGTTGTCATGAAGACATTATGCTGCTGCAATCATGGAGACCCTGTTTTCTTTTCTTCCTGGGAAGAAACCAAAAAAGCTCTTCAGAAGACCAAAAGATCCAGCTGCACAAAGATTTGGGGCCAATCCATGGGTACAATTAAGCTGACCTAGATTTGCCTTGAGGAAAAATAGACTGGACTGGTGGATAGAAATCTCCTTGTTATCAATTAACTCAGCTTTCCCTATTTTATTCTACTAAATTCTCTTAGTCCTCTCTGCTTAATGCTTTTTTAGGTTTGTCTACATATTCATTACATATTTTGTTTACACATTTTTAAGTCATTTTTCATATGTATTATAGTGATTATCTTTTAAGACACCTGAAATTTTTCTGTAGTTTACAAAGACTTCTCTATGACAAAATATATAGTGAAAGCATCAATTCTTTTTAAACCTTTTTTTGTTTGTTTTCTGCTTTCAAATCCTGCCTTTGCCTCCCAAGTTCTGGGATTAGAGACATGTGCCATCACACCTGGTTCATGTGGTGCTGGTAGGAACCCAGGGCTTTGTAGGTATTAGGCAAACACTCTGTCAGGTGATCTACAGCCCCAGCCCTAATTACTTCTTATTGATAGTTGATATCCTTTGTATTTTTGAAGAATTTGATAAAATATTTAGTTTTCATGTTCATTTGTATTATTCACATTGTTTTACTAATACTGGGTTTGAAATTGTTTTATTTATCAGAACAGCATTCTTCTTCAACAGAAGATATGAAATAATTTAGAGTGTATAAATTTTGAGTAGGGCATTTCAGGACTATTATGTGAAGTATTTGTAGTGAGAGACATTCAAGAGCTTTAAAAGTGACTTAAACAGGAATCAATTCTCTTCCATTCGAAAGCATCCTCCCACAGGAGTTTCAGATAGAGCTGTGTAGAAAAACACTGAATGACATAAAATAGCATACCTTTCACTAATTCCGTGGTTGTTAATATTGCATGTCTAATATTGCCACCCGTCAGTGCCATCAGTTGTAGGTTGGAAGAGGGAAGACAGATGGGATGTGAGAAAATTTCGCCAACAGAGATTAACACAGGAATCTGAAATCTGGAGTATTAGCAGAGCCAAGGCAATCCCATTTTAGCTGGGGGGATTTTAAATAAAATCCTTTCACTCCGAAGACTGTAAAGTTGAAGTGCTTTCAATTGAAAGATTAGTAGACAGTGTAGGGAAAGATCATGTCTACATTTCTTGAGGCACAGAAAACAGGAGAGAATGACAAGCCAGGGAACGGGGACAGTTTGGTTATTTAGATTTGAGCTGAACCACAGTCACAGCCAAAGTCTTCATACTGACTAATCAAAAGCAGCCTTAGGCATCAGCATCCTGTGTCTCAAACTACTAAGGCCTTCATGTGGATGTGGCATGTTTTCCCAGGTGTGGTGTTGCTTATGCACTCAGCAAATGTGACATGTTACAAAACAAAGGCCACTGGAAGACTCTCATACCTTTTCAGCTTTACTGTGATATAATTGGCAAAAGCATATATATTCAAGGTAAAATGTAGTATTTTAATGTGTGTAAACACTGTCAAATGATTAAGATTATGCTAATTAGCACATGTCACATCGTATACGCACTAATTTGTGTGTGTGTGTGTGTATGTGTGTGTGATAAGAACACTGAAGATCTAGTCTTTTATCAAACTTCAGGAATACAAAATTATTAACAATATCACCATGTTGTGCAGTATATCTCCAGGACTTATTCATGGCTGTAAACTTGCACTCCCCTCATTTTTCATAACTCCCAGCCGTGGTCACCACTTGTCTACTCTCTGTTTTGTGGTTTTTTCACTTCAAAATCCTTATATAAGACAACCACTGCAGTGGTTAATATTGGCCATCAAACTTAATATACATTGGAAGAGGGAGCCTCAATAGAAGAATTGCTTCTATCAGACTGGCCTGTGAGGCCATTTTCTTGATTACTAATTGATGTAGGAGGACCAAGCCCACCCTAGGAGGCACCATGCCTAGATGGCTATATAAGGCCTTGGCTATATAAGAAAAGTCAGTAAGCAACATTCTTAAATTGATTTCTGCCTTCGCTTCCTTGGATGATGGACTGTAACCTCTAAAGAGAATTAAAACTTTGTTTTTCTTCCTTGATTTTAGGCAAGGTGTTTTATAGCAACTGAAAGGAAACTAGGACTTTCATGGAACCCCGTGCTTTCCATGCCTGGCTTATTTCGTTTAACATAATGTTCTCTGGATCCAGCCATGTAAAAAGGTGTCAAGGTTTCCTTCTTCTTATAAATACTGAATAATTTAGTCAGTCTTCTATACACACCCACAATACTATCATCAATCTTCATATTGTTAACTGAACAAGAAGGTACAGACAGATATCTCTTTAAGATCTTGATTTGAATTAATTTTCTATTTGCTCAGAAGTAGATTGATAGACCATATAGCAGTTCTACCTTTGGATGAGGAACTTCCATACTGATTCTCATAGTGGCCTGACTCATTTTATAGTCTCAGCCACAGTGCATACAGGTTCCAATTTATTCACAGACTCACAAAATGCCACTTGCAGTCTTTTCTTTATTTTGATAATAGCTACTGTAACAGGTATGGAATGGTTTCCTCGTTGTGTTTTTACTTATATTTCCTTTCTAATTAGTAATGTCAAATACTTTTCCACATGTGTTGTCCATCTGCATGCCTTGTTTGGGTAGGCAACTTTAATTTCACTTTTACTTATGCTTATTGCTGTCAGTAGACCACCATGAAATTGATTTTTTAACAAAACTTGAAGCACTGTATGAAATATTTCTAAATTCAAGTTTTACATGTAGCCAACTTCATGTGCTTTATCTCAGTAGACTAGAGCCTCTGCAGTTGATGATGTTGTCCTTAAATAGCCATAAAGTATTCATTCAGATACAGAAGGATAGTATTGTCCTCATGAGTCCTCAGAAAAACCTCCAATGTGAAAATCTGTGGGCTTGTTGGTTCTTTAACAGACATTACACCCCCATGACATTTATATTCATCAGAGCACTGTCTGCTCATTTACACATTTGTGGAGATAATCATGGGTCTCTTGTCATATCTTTCAGTCCACTTAATTTCATTTTTTTGCATACTGTTGTGGGTGCTTGGGCTTACCCTTTGTCAGCTGTGCACACTATTCAAGGAAGACGTCACGCATCTTTCCATTTTGTGTTCCTGGACATTAATGAAATCAAACAATCTTGCTATTTGCTTGATGCAAGAATAGCTCAGAAGCACACAGTTAAGAACCTGGAGGTGAAATTTTGGTTAATTAGAAATATAAATCATTAGATAAATTCTCTTGTCTCTAACAGTCAAGCTATATTGAGGTGTTTTACATCAATTTCAGAAGATTCTGTTCATATAAAATATCTCATTGATCATCTCATTGACCACTTCTGAAACCCTTTCTTACATTGGCTTTTCCTCATCACTTCTCAATCTTTTATTAAGGTATCAAGTCCAAGATGAAATACTGTTTTCAAATACCTATCTCGGCCTACAGCTTGAAATTACCTATATGCGATCAGTTTACACGGAAATGTCACTAGAAAGCAGAAACTTGGGACCACTTGATGATCAAATATTCTAGTATTTAGATTCACTCCTTTGTGCTCTAGGATGAAATAATGGAGAGAACAGCAAACCCATCATTTGAATGGGTGATGACAGTATGCTTCCTGTTTTAGTTTACTGATGTCTATAAGTCTTTAAAAAAAGTAACAAACAGACCTTTGTCACTAAACTATAAAGACAAGATAGCCTTGAACTTTCATACTACTTTGTGTCCTTAAAATAGATATGTATTTAATCACACAGAATTATCTGCAGTAATATACCATGTGGGAAAAGGATAACTAAGTCATGAGTTTAAAAGCCTCATCCTGAGAGACCTGGATCTAGAAAGGACATCACCCATTAAGCTAGAAATCAGGAATGTATGATAGTTCCTGAAAAATCTGAGTGGAATATCTGCTTCCCATCCTTATTAGAAAGAAATTGCCATTTGTCCCATCTGTGATTATATGGCAACAATCAATTAATAAATATTCATTCACAGTTTTATCGTGATAAGAATGTATATAGTTAATTATAATCATCCAGTTTGAGGGCACATGGGAAGCATAGGTCTTGGATGTCAGGAATTCTAAAATTTGTTGGTCTTAGGGAAAATCTGCTGAGAAATCATTAAGAATCTATTGTCTACTTCTGAAGCACTACTACTACCATGACCAAAATCTAATTTAAAACTATCAGGGTTTTAGTCTTGCTCAATATAAGATATAAATATATACAATTACAGAGGTTTAATAGTACAATTTATTCATCTCTGATAAATTCTACTTATATTCTTTTTGCAAAGAATGGTTCCTAGTTGAATGAAGCTGCATTCAAGTAAAATGGTCCACTTGAATGCTTCTAATGATTCAGGACTTTGTAGGTATTTGGCTTTTAATAGAACTGGATTCCCGTGACAGAATCTTTAGGGCTGTGGAAATGAAATCATCCTTGGACCAGCTGAAAGTGGTTTCTGTGACATCAAGAAACATGGAGAGTAGAATAAGACAATTTCTGGAGCAAGGGTCTAATATATCAATGTGCTCTAGAAAGAATAAAGCTGGCCTCCTAGTGGCTTAGTAGCTGAGAATAAGGATGTTACAATATCCCTTCATCCATGCACATAGCCACATAGCTGGTACCTAGCTACAACTGAAGCAGGCTTTGTTATTGTTATTTCCAATTAAAGGAATGGGAATTTTACAACACTTTCATAAGAATAAAAATGAAATCCTACAAGCTAGAATACTATTAAGAAGAATTTAACAAGCCTTTAACACAAACAGAGGATTTCAGATTTTATGTGCTGAAGCAAGAGCATGTGTAATTCTTTTGTTCAAGCAGCCAAAACAGCAGCAAGGAATAAAAGTATGAATTGAATTCTGCTGGATTGGCAGTTGTCCATGATTCCTTATTTGTGAAGAAGTTTGTGTAAACCCTCAGATGCTTTTGCACCATTTTCAATCAAGGAACAACATTCTGTCAGGCCATTGTATTTTTTTTTCTGTAACAGTATACTCTTAAATGAAATTACTAAATTTTGTAGAAAATGTGAAGCTCTTCTGTCCAGCCCAGAGAGGGAGAACAGATAGAGGTTCCTGCTTTAGAACACAGTGAACCTAGAATGAGTTAATGCAGAAAGTTATGCTCAGAGAGAGCATAGGCATAGCTAGCACATTGGCCGTGTTGAAGTGCGTGGGTACCACTTGGACTTTCAGATGTGTCTTCACAGTGTTACAGAATCCTCTGAGTTCAGAGCACATAGAAGCTATCAGTGAGCTTTCGGGGGGTGGGAATCACCAGGAGCTTGGTGTGTGTGTGTGTGTGTGTGTGTGTGTGTGTGTGTGTGTGTGTGTGTGTGTGTGTGTGTATGTGTGACAATCCTTGACATATGAAAAGAGTTAGAGTTGGGATTCCTCTTGCTCTAACATTTGGAGCCATTGTGAGCAACAAAATAGACCAAAGAAACTGGGTGCATATCAGAATGAAGCTTAATCTTGGTTGGTGGCATGTGCCGGTGTGGCCAGAGCACAAGAGGTGGCACCTGCTTGCCAGCTGCTCATAAATTTGCCAGTCTTTCCTCAGAAACATGATTAGTGTTGAATGGAAGGAAAGGAAGCACTCTGCTTGACATGCCTGGGATGTGGCTCACAGTGATGTGTAGAGTGTAAGACAGGCTGTCTGTACTAAATCTCCACTCTATCCAAAAGGAAAGCTCAGAATGCTGTTTTACGAAGGGTGAAAAATGCTCATTCATAATGTCGAATATTTTTTAAAGTTGTTCGTTTTCAAATGACTTCTCACTGATTATCAGCATCTGAGGATGCCCAAGTTTACTACTTCAAAGTTAAGATTTTGATACATAGGTTGGGGAGAGGCTTAGTGGGAAAATGCTTACTGTGTAACCATGGTGACTTAAAAGCCAGGTGTGTGGTGTGTTCCTGAAACCTCAGCAGATCTTCAGAACTTTGTGGCCGACCAGTCTAGCTGAAAAGGTGGGTGATAGCTTCTGTGAGAGACCCTGTGCCAAAATGAAATTGAGTCCCAGTGTAGTTCCAGATCCATGGTCACATAGATGGCCAGGTTAAGCTCAGTGGGTCACAAAACAAAACAAAAGCACATGAATGTGGGAAAGAGATTTGTAGATGGGGTAGGGGAGTTACCAGGCATGGGGGGCAGAGATAAAAGAGCTTGGGAGGCAAGGGTAATTAGAATGCATTATGTATACTTATAAAATCCTTAAGTATAAATTTTAATCAATTAAAAATTAATAAATTAGAGGGCTTGCGCCATCCCTGCTTTGTAGAAGGTCTTTTTCTCTGTTTGCCTTGGTGTGTATGTGTGTATATCCTCACCACTAATAAAGCCTTTCCTTACTGGCTCATTTTATTTGCTGTATCTGAGAATTCATACCCTCTCCTACCCACTCTGCAGACTTTTTCTGCCTTTTCCTTCTTTATCTGGCAGAGAAAATAAATCCCATCAAGAACCATAAATGGTAGTACTTTGAGGACCTCATTACAGATTCCTTCTGAGGATTTACTGACTAATCAACAAAGAAGGTCAGACCTTGAGAGGACAGAAAGATGTGACTCTTGAGCTGCCAGCACCCTTTCTCCATCCTGGAGCAGGGCAAATAATTTTACATTTTTCTCTCTAACAAGGAAGGTCCTCGTGATACCTCTCCGAACTCAAGTGTCTGTGTATCATAACAAGGGAAACTGGTGACTGAAGCCCTGTGAACAGAACTAAACTGCACTATTAACCTGGAGCCTGACTCCACAGTGATGTTACCTCTAATGGGTCAGGGTAGAGCCAGGGAAGAGAGAGACATCCACTCTTGTTTCAAGCTAAAATTAGATGATGGATAAATGTCTTCTCTTCCCCTCTCTAGAGGCAAAGAGAGAGACCTCACACTGACTCTCACTACTGTAATAGCAATGTATAGACCCAGCTTATTTGAGCTGAGACCATGGAATTTCTTCCTCTGTTTCTTTAATTAATTGATTGATTACTTAATTAAATTTATTTATTTATTTACTTTTTTGGTCTTCTTGCCTAGGCCACAGATACCATTCCATCCTTTAGTCATATGAACAGAATGTAAAGTGTGTGCCTATTTGAAAAAGGTGGTGTGACAGTCCACATTTAATCCGTGAGATGTGTGGATCCCATATGGACCTGTGCCCTGATTGGCAGATGGGATTACTTTACTATGGAGCTGAACTCACCATGAGCAGAAAGCAACTATGTGGTTACTGCCATATTGGCTAATGACCTTATTAAACTACAGGAAATCATGTGACTTGGTTGCCATCTTTGATAGTGATAATATAAGAGGGCAAATGCCTGGTGACTTCACCTCCATCTTGGTTACTGTAATCACATGACATTAAAGAAAATGGAAGCACCTTCGCAACTTCCTGTTTCCACTGATCCCTTGGGAAATACTACACCCTGTTTGTTTTTTGTTTATTTGCTTGTTTTTTAATCAGACTAAGGAGGTAACATCAGACCTCTAAGCTGTTTTTTGTTTGTTTGTTTATTTGTTTGATTTTTCTTTTTAATTTTTAGTTTTTTATCTTGTTTTAAATTTGTCACATTTTTCTATATGATATATTTACTGGTCCCCAGAGGGGACTTAAAAACTTCAGGAGGAACAAACAGATCCCAACAAATTCTGATGTAAAATTAAAAAACAATCATCTCTAAGAACTTGTGCTCATAGGAAATGAATTCTTGGGGACTCTGACCTCCAAGAATTTCAAAAGCTTTACATCTCTGATTTTTTTCTTTTTTGTTCAAAGGAAGGACAAAAGAAAAGCCCTTGTTTTTTGTAGGAGGGTGGTTAAGTTTTTCAGACTGTCAATCTCCATTTTCAGACACACACTCACTCATCCACCCAAACATGCACATACATATACCACAAACCAACTGATTGCGAGTATACAGTTACAAGCAGTGTGTCACCCCAAGCCTAGTCAGAAATGATCTCAAATTAGACACTAGTAAAAGGCAGATATCTCTGTCATCTTGGTTATGAGGGTAGACTATCACATACCCATGACCTTATAAAGTTTAAAGAGGGCAAAAAATCAAATGTTCTTTCCCTTACATCACTCTAAAAGAAAAGAAAATATTTTCTGTTTTGTCAGTCCCTGTTCCCAAAGCAAGACCCAGCATAGAAGATG